TAGCTGTGGAAGATCTCTCAGGTCGCCCCTCCAGTAGCCTGAGTTGGCCAGGGCTGCCTTTCTCAGTCATGGACTCCTGAGGATCTTAGGAAAGCTAGGAGCCCTCTCTTTAAAATCTGTGCATGGCCGGGCGCAGTGGCTCACGCCTGTAATCCCAACACTTTGGGAGGCTGAGACGGGCGGATCACAAGGTCAGGAGATTGAGACCATCCTGGCTAACACGGTGAAACCCCGTCTCTACTAAAAATACAAAAAAATTAGCCAGGCGTGGTGGTGGGTGCCTGTAGTCCCAGTTACTTGGGAGGCTGAGGCAGGAGAATGGCGTGAACCTGGGAGGCGGAGCTTGCAGTGAGCGGAATTGCACCACTGCACTCCAGCCTGGGCGACAGTGCGAGACTCCGTCTCAGCAAAAAAAAAAAAAAAAAATCTGTGCATAAGATTTCAGGGATTTCCCTTTTCCCTGAAAGTCTGACAGCCCCAGGATGGAGGTTTGGTGACCATTATTTTTGAGCCAAAAATGATGACTCGTGGCCTGCCATATGAGACACAGAGAAAAGGACAAAGAAAATGCTTTAAATCTGGACCACATGGCCACTGCATGAGCTGGGAGGATAGAGCCATGCAGGGAGCTCACCCTCTCTCCAGGGAAGGCTGTCTCTAACCTCACCCATAGCTCTGAGGCTTCCTGGGCACGGAAGTGATGCTGGTGCATATTTGAGCAGCTCAATCTTGAGAATGTTCGGGAAAAGTATTGAGAGTCCCTACTGGGGGACAGGGACAGGGCAGGAATGGGGACACTTTCCTGGGAACTTGGAAGGTTTGAGATGCTACCATGAGGTCCTATTGTCATTGTCATGAAAAAGACAATAACTACGGTGACAATGATGGGGAAGAAAGAGAAGGAGATAGGGAAGAAGGAGGAATCGGAGCAGGCAGTGGGCACCTGCAGAAGGGAATTTTCTGGGACATTTTGGAGCTAGATTATGCAAGGCAGTGGGGTCAGGAGGTCTTTAATGCTACTCTGAGAAGGCTGGGTAGGGTACCCCTGGAAGTTTTGGAGAGAGGACTCAAGGGCATAATGTAGCAGAAAGATAATCTGGCAGCATCTAGAGACCAAATGTGATATAAGTTGGAAATGGAGTGCTGGGCACGTGAGACTCTGTTTAGAGCAGCCAGGCAGGACTCGGTGCCTTGGTGGGATTGAGAAGGACGCAGGTGGAGGTGGGCGCCCTCAGGGGCTGGCCGTGTGCTGCGGTTACCAGGATCATAGCTGCCTTCCTTCAGACTTTAGGCACCCTGCATAATAGCTTACCAAGCAACTAATTCTCGAAATTGTACAGGGAGCACATTATTATTCATATTTTATAGATGAGTTAGCTGAGGTAAGAAGAATTTAGCATCAATTTCCTGCACCCAGCAGCTCAATAACATGGTACTCAGCAGACTGGGATCTAAGACTGAAGATCACCCCTGTAACTCCTTGCTGAATGACCCTGGGCAATTTGCTCCACCCCTCTAAGCCTCCATCTGTAAAGATCAAATTGAAATAACATGTGAAATGCTCAGCAAGTGCCAAGTACACAGTAACCACTCAAGAACTATTGCTTAGCCTGGTATGGTGGTGCACACATGTAGTCTCAGCTACTTGGGAGGCTGGAGGTGGGACTCCAAAACACTGAGGCTACAGTGAGCTGATATAGCGTCACTGCATTCCAGCCTGGGTGACAGAGCGAGGCTGTATTAGTCCCTTTTCATACTGCTAATAAAGACGTACCTAAGACTGGGCAATTTACAAAAGAAAGAGGTTTATTGGATTTACAGTTCCACATGGCTGGGGAGGCCTCACAATCACAGTGGAAGATGAAAGGCACATCTCACGTGGCGGCAGACAAGAGTAGAGAGCTTGTGCAGGGAAAGTCCCATTTTTAAAACCATCAGATCTCATGAGACTTCTTCACTATCATGAAAACAGCATGGAAAAGACCTGCCCCCCACAATTCAATTACCTCCCACTGGGTCCCTCCCACAACACATGGAAATTCAAGATGAGATTTGGGTGGGGACATAGCCAAACCATATCAAAGACCCTGTCTCAAAATAAAATTTAAAAAAAAAGCTATTGCTATTGTTATCATCAATATTATTCATGCTGAATGGACACTACCCAAGACCAAGGTCAGAACTCCCATTGTCACTTCCTAGCTGGGTGTCCTTTAGACATACTTGGGCCCTCTGAGTCAGTATCCTCCCAATGAATGGGAGCCAACTCCACCCCACCTTGCAGTTACCAAGGATAACATTCAGAGATCACTGAAAAAGAGGGCCCTTTAGTCTAGCTCCCAAAGATGAACTTGTAAAGCTAAATCTAGTTTAACATATAACTCCTGATTTCCCAACAGCCAGTAGCATGTGGCTGCTTCCGCCCTACAATGGAATTGGAAGCAAATCCTTCAAACAACTTTCCTGTTTGCTCTGCAGCAGGAAGACAATGAATACCACTTAAATAGACTGTGCCAGGCCTCAGGATTTTGCTGGGTGTCAACCTTCCTCCATCAGGAGTCACTTCTGTTTAAGCTGATGCAGATTTCGGACTTTAAATAGAAATGATAAATTATTGACTATCATGGTGATTGATTCTCAGACTGTCTGCTGACCACCAAATTGCTCCGATTGTCTCCTGAATGAAAATTCCATAAGTCATTAGTGTGAGCCTGCACCAACATTCGTCATGTTAATGATGCGGCTGCAATCACTCCTTGACACTAATTACCTTTTCTGACTAATTTTGAATGCGGAATTTTGCTAATGACTGAGACCCACTGTAAAAGGCCCCATTTTCTCCAAGTGTTCCATAATCTATGGTACCTTCATGCTCATATCACAGTTATTAACACTGCACCCGATCCTGCCTGCTCCTATGTCGGCAGCCTTTAAATAGAGAGAACTTTATTCCAGGCTCCCTGACATAAACATAGTTTTATCTGGAGAATTCCCCAAAAGTGAGTTTCTGGAGAGGCAGGGTCTGCATGGATAGATTTCTAACTTGTAGAAACAATCACGAAAAATGTTTAAGCCATAGATCTTTCATGGCTATGGGAAGGGATGGGCAGCACAGCCTACTCACCATGTGCTAGCTCTGTGCTTGGATTTTTCACACACACTGGTGTATAAGGTCCTTGCTATGACTCTGTGAGACAGCTGTTATCAGCTCATTTTACAGATGAAGTACCTGGGACCTAGAGATTTTAAGTGACCACCCCAATGACACACGGCTTGTAAACAGTGATTACAAGAGACTGGAGTTGTGGCAGGCAGTGTTGGCTATCAGTGATCCCCACCTCCAAGTAGAATCTCTTCCCCATGAGTGTGGCCAAGATCTGGTGACATTTCTGACGAATAGAATGTGGCAAGACTGATGGGTCATCATTTCTGACATTCAGTCCCAGCAGACTGCTGTCCATCTTGCTCCATTTTCCTCTGTCCACATGCTCAGTCCCTCGGAGGGAAACCATGTTGTGAGCTGCTCCATAGAGAGCACTGTGTGACAAGAACTGAGGGCAGCCTCTGGCTAACAGCCACTGAAGAACTGAGGTTTTTACTACAACAGCTTGTGTGGAATCAAATCCTGCTGAACATGAGTGGCCTTGGAATAGGATCCTCACTGGCAGAGCCTTCAGATGAGACCACAGCCCCAGCCAACATCTTGATTCCAACCTTGTGAGAGGCCCTGAGTCACAGGACCCTGGTTCTTGATCCATAGCAACTATGAGGTAATAAATGTGTGTGATTTTATGCACCTAGGTTTTGGGATAACTTGTTTTTACACCAAAAGATAACTAAAATAAGGATCAAACGTAGGTTGGAATGATACCAAAGCCCTTGTTTGCTTCCCTCTATAAATTTTCTTAAATCACAGCAATATTATTATATAATATATGACAACCATCTGTATTGATTTTTTTTGGTTCAGAATTCTAACATAAGTAATTAAAATTAGAAGCCCATCTTCACCTTGCCTTCAACCATCTACTTCTTCCCCAGAGGAAGCACTGTTTACAGTTTTGCATATCTTCTCTGATCTTTCCTATATATCTACATACACACACATAATTTTATTAAAACATAAACAGGGTTCTATGCATATTTTTCTGTGATTCACTTTTTTAACTTAATAATGTATCCTGAACATCTCTCCAAGTTGGCGTATAAAAAGCTCTTCCTCGTTCTTTTCAACAACTGCAGAACATTCAGGAGGATGGATTTGCTATCATTTCTTTAAACACCATCCCTACTGATGGACAATTGTTTCCAACAAACTGCAACAAATATCCTTATACATAAATGTTTGTGCATGGTATAATAATTTCTGCAAAAGAGATTTCTAAAAATGGAATTGCTAGGTCCCAAGATATATATTTTTTAAAGTTTGGGTCACTTCTTATGCATCACATTGCATCCTCAAATGAAAAACAAAACTAAAAAGTCACCAGGTCTCATCATTGCTCCAAGATATATGGCATATATACTCTGTGAATCTCAGATAGTGCACCCACGGGAGGTCTTGGGACAGAGGCTGGGCATCCCAAGCCTTGCAGGCAACAAAATTCACAGGGTCAGCCCTCTTTCTCCTTTAGATAGCTTAGAGCATCCTGAAAATTATCCTTCTTTTGATTTATTTTTTTGGGGGGGCAGTGATAAATCAAACAGAATCCAAAAGGTGAAAGGGGCAGAGACCTACATCATGGCAGCCAGCCTTCAGGTCCAGCTGTTCTCAGACTTGCTACAGAGCCTGGGCTGAGTCATTGTCCCTACCTAGCTTCAGTTTAGCAACTCATTGAGGGGTTGGACAAGAGGGCTTCCAGGCCCCTCCTGCATGAGGTTGTAGACTTGGTTCAGGAAAGTTGTAAAGAATTGCCCTTCTGTATCACTGGCCATGGGACCATGTGCAAGTCTCTTATCCCCTCAAGCAGGGAGATTAAAAAACAGCTATTTGAGAGGTATACATTTAATCCACACATTTATTAGGCAACTGGTGAGCCAGGCACCAGAGTTGCAGAGATGGCTATATGTGATCCCCATCCCTAAAATACTCAGAGGCCAGGGAAAAGGTCAGACTCTAGTAGCAGGAGCCTGGGAGCCCAGTGCTGTTCCCCATCAAAGCAAGGTACAGAGGTTGTGGGGTTGGGCACAAAGGCATTGAGCTCTTTGCTAAATCCCCTGCACTGGCACACAGCCAAACAGAAGGAAATGGCATTGTTTTATCCAGTTCTCTGGTGCCTTACATTTGAATGTGCAATCAGGATGGCTTTGATGTTGATTCTTGAAGAGAAGTCCTAGAGAATCTGCAGAAGGGGACATTGTCAAATCCACTCAAAATCTTCAGCCTAAAAGATGAGAGTCAAGAGCAGGTGTGGTCTCCAGGAAAATGACTCCAGTTGATTTTCTGTTCTAGGCAAAATGGAGATTAGATATTTCCCAATGAAGTTTCAAATGCAAAAACCTTAGCAACAACAAAATCATGAAAACAGCATTCCACACAATGGAAATGTAGAATCTTGAGATTTGTTTAAGCTTTGCAGAAAGTGGCCTAAAGTTGAAGCACAACAAATACTCAAACCAGTGAATTCGGTGTCTCCAGATTTATCCTACTCAAAGTGTGGTCTTTAGCTCAGCCACATCAGCACCACTTGGGAGCTTGTTAGAAACACCATCAGGCCCCACCTCAGACCTACAGTATCAGCATCTGCATTTTAACAAGATGCCCAGATGGTTTGCATTAAGGTTCTGGTCATCAGGGTCCTGGTTGACTAAGGTAGAAACTTCTGCCAGATTCAGCCAGGCCTTACACCCTTGGAGAACTAGTGATCTGTGATTACTCTTTGGTAGTTAGTGACAAGCGGTGGTCCCGATACCTCTGGACTCAGCTACCAGGCATTCTGGGACCTCAGGTGAGGACTGACCAGTGGTAAAAACACAACGCTGGCAGCTGGCCCAGCCACAGAGGTGCGCACAGAGAGACAGTCTTCTACATATAAAGGGTCACGGCAAGCTCAGGCTTGGTTTGGGCTGGCATTGATTCGGATTGAACTTCCACACTCTGGGAGGAGGCCCAGTGCAGGTCTGGCTGTTGTTTGTTGGAACACCTTCATCTCTCATTGTTACTTCAAATCCCTATGCTCAGCCACATGAAGACCCACAGGGCACCAAAGCAATGCAGAGAAGGGCACGTTAGCTCATCTTCCAAGGTCAAAAGCCCATGAAGCCAAACTGGCACCAGCTACAACCAACAGGAAGCCCAGTTAAGTCTGAAAATACAAACTCCCGGCCAGGTGCGGTGGCTCATGCCCGTAATCCCAGCGCTTTGGGAGGCCGAAGAAGGTGGATCACTGATGTCAGGAGTTTGAGACCAGCCTGGCCAACATGGCAAAACCCCATCTCTACTAAAAGTATAAAAAAATTAGCCGGGCAAGGTGGTGCACACCTGTAATCCCAGCTACTCAGGAGGCTGAGGCACGAGAATCACTTGAACCTGGGAGTCGGAAGTTGCAGTGAGCTGAGATTGTGCCACTGCACTCCAGCCTGGGTGACAGAGTGAGACTCTGTCTCAAAAAAAAAAAAATAATACAAACTCCTCTCCAAGGGATAATCTGCCCTTCTCTGGTCTTTGTTGGTCCAAGACTGATGTTCCTTCTTCTTCATCTTGCTCCTGAAAATTTACTGGAGAACAGGCACCCTACAGGCCCAACAAATTTCAAACAGGAAGCATGCTTAAATCTGCAGTTGTCATTCATTTCCTCCAATTCCACAACTATTTACTGAACGGTGGAAGCAATCATAATAACGGAGGTGGCCATAGTTGCTACCATGCACTGAGCATTTGCTGTGAGTTACCTCCCTGCTCTCCTAGTGGCCTCTTAAATTTTGAGGGTAGGGTATTGGGTGTAAAATCTCCCACTCACCTCCTCTGGCTCCTGCCAAAAACAACACATATGAGGAATCACTGGCAAGGATTCTCATTGCCAAATGTGAAATACAGTATGCATCTTCTCCACAGCTAGGCAAGCACCCAGCAGTTCCTGGTGCAAAGCTTCTTGGGAAAGCCGAGCTAATGCGTGGGCTTGAGGCCTGAAAGAGGATTCCTGCAGTGCACTCCCTCCTGTGGAGAGTGGTTCAGTGGAACAGATGCTGAGTCCATACACCCACCCAGGCCCGGGAACAAGGACGGCTGGGTTGCCAACCCTCCTGACTGCAGGTGAAACTGAGCATGGCTGTAAACATGTATCACCTTTCAAGAAAATGACTGTGTCTGCTAGTAAAACATGACCCAGAGAAGGCCAGACTCTTCCAACCAATTCAGCAATTTCTCCCTTTGTGGGAAAGAGGGAATCTGGATGGGCAGAGAGGCCAGAATCCTTCCCGTGTGGCCCCACCTCTATGAGCAAGACTGAGATATGTTGGGGATGACAGATGCCCTAGGAGATGGTGCCAGGACTAAGCATGGGACATGCTAGTGAGCAAGATGGACCTACGCACCTCCCAGAACCCATTGTGTGTTAGCAGACAAACGCAGTTTGGGTTAGCAGCAAAGCTTCCCCAAGAGTCTATGGAAATTTGAGCGGCATGAACAGAGGTTGGTGGGACAAGCACAGCATGGCAGCCACACTCTGTGGGTTCTTCTAGAGTTCCCACAGAAAAAGGGAGGAAAAAGCTCCAGTGAGGTGTTGATCAGACCCCACTGATATTGGGGTCTTTCCTGAGGTCTGGGACTGCAAGTAGAGACAAACTTGTGTTTAGCTTTGTCTGCAAGAAAAAAGATACAGGAAGCACTGGGCTTTTCTACAAATGTGGAGAGATCTGTCCTGGGGGAGGAGGGGAGCTGGGAGCCATGGAATGAAATCCCGAAACACTGTATGAGTTTCTTGTGGCTGCTGTAACAGATACCACAAACTTGGTGGCTTAAAACAACACTAATGTATTTTCTCACAGTTCTGGAGGTCAGAAGGCCAAAATGGGCATCACTGAGCCAAAATCACAGTGTCATCGGGGCTGTACGCCCTCCAGAGGCTCTAGGGGAGAAAAATTCCCAGCCTCTTCCAGCCTCTGGTGCTGCAGCTATCCAGGGCCTGTGGCTTCATGGCTCCAGCCTCTGCCTCTGTGGCCACAGTGCCTTCTCCTCTTCTGTCTTCAAACCTCCGTCTCTCACAAGGACACACTCAGATAATCCAGTATAACCTCCCCCAGCTAAATGAGATGATTAACCTAATCACATTAGCAAAGACTCTTTTCCCAAATAAGGTAACATTTACAGGTTCCAGGGATGAGGACCTGATATCTTTGAGGGGCCATATACAGCCTACCACAGAGACCAGTTTGGGATCTTGAGAAAGGGCTTTCCTGCAACCTGGGCTGTCCAAGGTCAGAATGGGCTACTCCCCAGCAGTGGGCCCTGCAGCAGATGCACTCAGCCACCCCCTAGGTCCCTTCAGCGTTCTTCTCTGGATGCCAAATGCTGCTTACTACAAACCTACAACTCTCTGCCTGAGGACTTCTTGCTGCTATAAGAGCTCACTTAGCTCATGGACTGTATGTGCCAGAAGGGCTAAAGAATAAGTCTCCAGAGGCAGCCCTCAAGCCATGAATGATGAGACATGGAAGATCAATACTCCAGATTCCACGCCCCTCGGGTGCGGTAACTCTGAACTGGGTTCCATATTGATGCTCAGAGTTTTTCAGTGTGAGCTCCAGTTGCCCACAGCTAGAAAATGGCTTGATAATACAACTTTTACTGACTTATTTACCTTTCCTCACTCACCTCCCTACTGAAGTTACCTAAGACCACCTCCTTAGGAAAAAAAAAAAAGAAAAAAGCTACTTATGAGGGTCTTCTCTCAGGGGATCCCAATTCAAGACAGTTTGTGTTAGAAGTGGTCCTGAAATTGGATCTTTTGCCATTGTGATGGCAGAAGGGTGCCTCTGTGGGTAGTCAGGTGACCCCTGGCATGCTGGGCATCACAATTGCAGAGACACTCACTCTGCTGAGTTGGGATAGGGGTATGGGTGGGACTGGATGCACTGGCTAGCAAAATAGCTCTAGCATAATAGCTGTAGCTCCAGAGGGCCATATGGCAATGACAATATAAGGATTGCTAACTGTCACTGACTGCTATCAAAATTCTAAAGGAAGAAAATGACAGGCTCAGGCCAGCCATCTAGCTACTCAGGGCATGGTGCAAAAGTTAGGTGTCCTCCAGAAGAGCATTAGAACTATCCTTACCCTGCATAGCCAGGGGCAGGCCATGGTGAAAATCAGGCTAAGAATCTGATGGTGGAGGGGCAGAGTTACAGAGGCTGGATTCATGGCCCCAGCAAGCTTCCTATGCTAAAGCCAAGGCCATGATAAGGAAGAAGTGGGTCCTGGAAACCTAGAGTTGGGGCACATGGGAGGGAGGAACTTAATCCTGCATATGCCCCTGAACTGTTGGGGCCAGCAGAGGCAGTGCCCTCCTTTTTGTCTCCATCTCCGGGGAGACCATGCAGGGCCTCATTTGACTCAGGTGCCTTGTGCAATGATGCTTGCCCTTATCAGTAGATGCCCCCTCCCCTCACGGCTTCTAGACTGATAATGAAGGCCAAGACTCAGGGGTTCAACTGGGAAGCACTGACCTGCCCTGGGAGGAGAGGGCTATCTCATCATGGTGGTGTAGGACCTGGCAGAATGAACCAACATGAACAACGAGGACACGTCTAGGAGCAGATAATGAAGGCACTGGGCCAGGAGAGGGTAAGCGTAATGCTGGATAAAAGAGAGTTTATCAATGTGGGGCACTGTCCCATGACTTGGGATCTAACATCATGGTACGGACACCAAGAGATGGTCTTAGTAACCTGCTGGGACTGCTGCTTGAGGCTTAGGAAAAACTGGGGAGGAGATGTGGGAACTAGCTTGGTAGAGAGTCTAGGAATGGGTTACAAGGCTCCCAGAGGGGAGTACGCTAGACTAGATTAATTATGTAAGACGAAAGAACCTGCCTTCACTAAAGTGATAGTGAGAGAAGCGCTTCGTCCCTGAGAGGTTCAGTAGTGGTGACCCACCATAGGCCAGGGTGGATGGTAGGGGTGCTGTGATGGAACCAGGTTCTCCAGCATCTGTGGAAATGCTTGGATTCCAGAATCACAGAGGCCAGCTGGCGGCACTTAACCATCAGAAGTAGGAGATGATGTATTAACAGCAGGCAGCAAGGATGGAATGGCAAACAGGAGGCTTTGACCCACAGGGACCTGTGGGGAGGGCTAATAGACCACTGCACTCCTGAGGACAGGCCAGATGGGCAGCCGATGAGGGTACTGCTCAAATTCTAAAACCAAAAAGACCAAGAGCAGGTGTGCAGAAGCCTGCTGTCAGCCACTGCAATGGAGACTTGTGGTCTCTCACCTGCTCTGCAGACCTAAGCCAGAGTCCATTGATTGTAGGAGAGGCCAGATGTCTGTGGCAGGTGATGTCAATGCTCCAACCATATCCCCTCACCCATACCCCTGTGGTGCATACTGGCCAACTTCCAACGCATTTCATTCCTCCAGGGCTTCCTCTGCTCACCAGAACCTGATTTATTATTGCCTGCTCCACATGATTGGAGCACCATGGAATTATCGAGTGCAGCAGGGGTGGGAAATAAGCCCTACAAAGAGTCAGGGATCTGGCACATCAGTGAAGCTGCCAGTTCAAGAACTACCTGTTGTGCCTTGCAAAAAAAAAAAAAAAAAAAGATAGAGGCACAATACTTGACAGGCCTTCTTGGAATCTGGAGACATCCCACATCTGGGAATAGTGTTCTAGCACATTCACTGGATGGGGCAGATGGCTGCCAGTTTGAGTGGGTCCCAGAGTAAGAGAGGACTCTACAGCACATTTAGGCTGTGGACTAAGTGGCTCTGCTATGTGGGCCAGTGATCTGGCACATTCCATGGTGCTGGAAGTACCCATGGTAGATCAGGAAGCAGGATGGAGCCTTCAGAAAGCCTCCTTCTTTAAGTTTCTGTTTGTTTTAAAAGAACTAGGACCAGCCACCACCTTGAAGAATCAGTGACAGATGAAACAAACCTACCATGAGGCCCAAGAGGATCTAAGCAGTGCAAGGGGTGGACTGTAGCAGACGCTCTTGGTGTCCCCAAAGAAATAGAACTAATTAGAGATATAAACATGTATACATTGACAGAGAGAGAGAGAGATTGTAGCAAAACCATCATGATGACTGACATTTGACTCATGCAGACCAAGGTATTCCACAGAAAGGCCTTTAAACAATGCCTGTAGCATAGATCGCCCCTCATAAAGATACTGTCTGACCTCCTGAGTGGACAAGAGTTTTGCAAGGAAGTCTGAGGCATGACCAGCTGCACATGTTTTACCCTAAAAGCTTGCTATAGGAGGGATATTTTCTGGAGGGTGGGTGCAGGAATCCACTGTCTCTCAGCCATCTGACATCACTTCTGTTCATAAGGCCCTATTAAATGTTTCTTTCTGAGAAATTGGATTTGTCAGCTCTTTCTTCAGCCTCTCAACTCCCTTGGCCTTTGGGGGTAGGTTTGCATAGACCTGCTCACTGTGGCACAGCGATTTATTTTAAGGAATTGGCCCATATGCTTGTGGGGGCTGGCAAGTACAAAATTTATAGGATAGGCCAGCAGGCTGGAATATTGGGCAGGCGTGCTGATGGTGCAGTATGGAGTCTGAAATCTGTAGGGCAGGCCAGCACACTGGAAGGTCAGGCAGGAGTTAATGCTCCAATCTTGTGGCAAAATTTCTTCTTCAGGAAACCTCAGGTTTTGCTTTTAAGGCCCTCTGCTGATTGGATGAGATCCACCCACATTATCAAGTATCATTTCCTTTATTTAAAGCCAACTGATTGTACATGTTAACTACATCTACCAAATACCTTCGCAGAAACGCGTAGATTCGTGTTTAATAACCTGGTGCCATTCTCTGGTGAAGCTGATACATGAAACTAACCACTGTAGACCCTGCCCTCCACCCCCCTTGTCTGTGGCATTCACCTCTACCTCTACATGTCAACAGCTGCTAACCTCAGATACCTGGGATGCTCTGCCTGCATTAGTCAGCTCCAGCTGTCAGAACAAAATACCACAGACTGGGTGGCTAAGATAATAAATATTTACTTCTCACCATTCTAGAAGCTAGGGAGTCCAACATCATGGTACCAGTCAATTCGGTTCCTGGCAAGGGCCCATTTCCTGGTTCACTAATGACACCTTTCTGTGTCCTCACATGCTAGAGAGAGAGCAAGAGGGCTCTCCAGTCTCTTTTGTGAGGTCACTAATGCCAGCACAAGGGTTCCACCCTCGTGACCTAATCATCCCAAAGTCCCCACTCGCTAATACCATCACCCTGGGATCAGGTCTTCAACATATGAATGTGGGGGGTATGCAAACATGCAGTTTGTAATCCTTCCTTCCTCTGCCCTTTTTTTCTTTTTTTTTTTTTTTGAGACAGTCTCTCTCTGTTACCAAGGCTGGAGTGCAGTGGCGCTATCTTGGCTCACTGCAACCTCCGCCTGCTGGGCTCAAGCAATTCTCCTGCCTCAGCCTCCCAAGTAACTGGAATTACAGGCGCCCGGCTAATTTTTGTATTTTCAGTAGAGATGGGGTTTTGCCATGCTGACCAGGCTGGTCTTGAACTCCTGACCTCAGGTGATCCACCAGCCTCTGAAAGTGCTGGGATTACAGGCTTGAGCCACCATGACCGGCCCTTCCTCTGCCTTTCTGTTCTACTCAGTTCTTCAACAGATCGGCTGACACCCACTCACACTGGAGAGGGCAGTCAGCTTCACTGAGGCCGCTGATTCCAGTGCTAAGCTCAGCCAGAAACACCCACAGACACACCCAGAAATAATGCTTAGCCAAATACCTGGACAGTCTGTGACCCGGCCACATTAACACATAAACTTAACCATCCCAGGCTGGGCACGGTGGCTCACACCTGTAATACCAGGACTTTGGAAGGCCAAGGCCAAAGGATCACATGAAGCTAGGAGTTCAAGACCAGCCTGCCCAACATGGTGAAACCCCATCTCTACTAAAAATACAAAAACTAGGTGGGCCTGGTGGCACATGCCTGTAATTCCAGCTATTCAGGAGACTGAGGCAGGAGAATCATTTGAACCTGGGAGACGAAGTTTGCAGTGAACTGAGATCTTACTACTGCACTGGGAGACAGGGCAAGACTCTGTCTCCAAAAAAAAAAAAAAAAAAAAAAAAAGAAATTTAAATAAAATAAATAAAAATAATAATAATAATAAAAATCACAGTCCTCAAGGCACAGAACATTCGACCTCTAAAAGTCTCAGTGATCCAAAAGGCCAGCGCTCATTTCACAGGGTGAGAGGGTGAGGTTTGGAGAGGGTGACACGTGGCCCCAGATGTCCTTAGCTCCTGGCCAGCGCCAGTTGGCCTCACCTGCCTGGTTATTTATTCCAGAGTGGATGCACAATGACAGGAGTTCTGGTCTCTGGTCCAGTACTTACGATGCAGCCCCAGGTGAGTGACAACTTCTTGGAGCCTCAGTTTCTGCATCATCAACGTGAGAATAGTAGCAGTTCTTCTTTCATAGAATTATAGGGAGCATTAATACATGGGACTCATCTATGAAAAGGACTCCACATGGTGCCTGAGGTAAGGAAGTGCTCAAATAAATATTAGACATTTCTTGAGGATTGATGTAACATGCCACAGAGAACTTCAAAAATACTACCAGGAACCATGCTTTTAATTTATAAGGCTTTCTAACCCACAAATACAGCTAATCTCCGCCCCCCATAAAATTCATACAATTTTCCAAAAATTTCAAGATTGATGGTACCCTTGGTCAAAGCGTCACCCGGGGCAGCCATCAAAATCCAGCACTTCCTGTCTATTTCATCCTGGGCTGATAGCCGGCTGCAAGACTGTGTGATTTGTTGGCAAGGGTCCTGGAGGGTCCATAAAGCAGAGGAGGCTGGGCAGAAAGATCTGTTTAATTCCCACATTCCAAGGGGTTGTTATTCAACTCACCCTCCTCCCTTCCATCCAAGGATAAATCAAAAGCTGCCATCATTGGCTTCCATTCACCAGGAGACCCATAGATCAGCGGCCGGCACTCTGCACCCAGCCTCACCTCTGTCCCATGGTACTCCACACCCAGGAAGCAGCAGACAAGTTTAATTAGTCCTCGAGGCTGTTCCTCATTAACAATCCATCCCCTCCTGGTTCCCAAACACCTTGAGATCTGTCTCCATTAAAGTCTGGGAGGAATGACCCCAGTTTGAGCTTCACGCTCATTAGCTGCTGAGACCAGCTGGGGGTGAGCTGCCGGCTATGAGATGAGACCTGTGGTTGGCTGTGAAATTAATGAATTTTTCTTCCTTAACCTCCTGAGCCTGCATGATCTACCCATGGCCAGTAAATAATCAAAGGCCCAAAGGACACGTTATTGCAATAAACACCCAGGGTTTTCTAGTTAATAAAGTATCATGAATTCTGCATTTTATCCAGAGGAACACATTTTTTAAAATACACTGAACAATAAAGCGGCACAGAACAGAACTGTGTCTTTCTGGAGAAGTCCAGAGGCTAAGCTATACATCTCAGGGCCTCGGCAGCAAAATCCTCAGTTGAGTCCAGGCAGAGCAGGAAAGAGGAGGGTTAACCAGGACTGCTGAGATTGAGGGCGCTACAGCGCTGCTCTGGCTGAACACACTCTCCAGTTGTTTTGTAACTGGTGGGCATAGCCAAGTTTCCCCAGACCGCACAAAGCCCCCAGTCTGCAGAGAGAGTCCATGGGTGGGGTAGGGGTTCTCAGAGTGGCCCCCGTGCTGGTGACTTCAGTGGAAGCTTTGTCTGAGATGGGGGGACATGAGGCCAACCCAACCACGCTAATGGAGGCCAAGAGAACAAGAAGGAAATTCATTTATTAAGGACCAGTTTGCACTGTAAGATATTAATCCTTCCCTTTTTAAATTCATTCCTTACCTGACTTCCCTAATAAAGACAAAGTGTTTGCTTCCTTGGGTACTTAATCTATGTCAGACCCTAGGGTAAGCATTTTACATATTTCCTCCCCAAGGCCGCATGGCGAGTCCTGTGAATTTGCTGCCTGGAAGGAATCCACAACCACCTTCCCTGGCCTTCCTCTACTAAACACTCTAAGTGGTCCATTGTCTAGACCTTGTTGAAATTGGGGTGATCATTCACCATGATTCTGGCCAAGAAGATGTAAGTCAAAGGCCCTAGGGAAGGCTCCCCTCCTTCCTGAGCAGAGTTGCTTATTCTTCTTTCTAACTGGAACATAGGTGAGAGGCTGGAAGTAGAGCAGTCATTTTGAGGCCGTGAGGCAGCATGAGGACAGACCCAATATGCTAAAAATGGGGGACAGGGGAAAGACAGAAGGAGTCTGAGCCCTGTGGGGAAGACCTGATAGGCCATTGCAAGAACCCCAGACCTGCTGCTCTGGATTTCTCGCTAAGTGAATGTTTTAAAATAAACTTCACACCTATGCCAGCTGAGTGCTTTGTTATCCCTAGTGAAAAGCAGTTTTTGTTTTGAGTTTTTTTGTTGTTGTTGTTTGTTTGTTTTTTGAGATGGAGTCTCTCTGTCACCCAGTGGAGTGCAGTGCTGTGATCCCAGCTTACAGCAATCTCCGCCTTCTGGGCTCAAGTGATTCTCCAACCTCAGCCTCCCAAGTAGCTGGGACTGAGGCACACGCCACCACACTTGGCTAATTTTTGTATTTTTAGTAGAGACGGGGTTTCGCCATGTTGGCCAGGCTGATCTTAAACTCCCAGCCTCGAGTGATCCACCTACCTCGGCCTCCCAAAGTGCTAGGATTACAGGTGTGAGCCACCACCACCATGTGAAAAGCATTTCTAACCAATACATCCCCACTCTCTAGATGCGGAAAGTCAAACCGGTGGGGTGACTGCTGAAGGCCACCTGGGAGCAAGCAGTGGGACTAGGATTCACTGTGACTGTGCATTTCTTGTCACTTAGTCCTCCCTGCCATCACCCAGTGCCCCAGCAAGGAATCATATGCATACAATTTGCAAGTGTTTTTGATTGTCACCTGTCTCGAATGCATTATCTCAGAGACAAGGGTCAAACAATCCACGTATATAACTGACAGCTATAATTAAAGCAACTGATAATATTAATCCTAATAATAGCTAACCTATCTCATTTAACCTGACAACAACCCTATGAGGTCATTACTTCTCACCAGGGGAAACTGAGGCACAGTGTGGGTAGGTAACTTTCCCAAGATCTCACAGCCAGTGAATAAACCGAGTTTCAAACCCAGGCAGCCTGGCCCCGAGGCCCCCATGCTGACCACTGCCATTGTGGGCAGGAGCAGATCTCAGTAGCTCATGGTGCACGCTCCCTTTGAATGTCACAGATGAAACCGCCTGCCCCCACCACCCCTCCCCAGGATGCCCAGGGTTCTATCTGTCCCCCCGCACTCCTGTCAGTGAGGCATAGAGGCAGGAAGGGTGCAGACGCTGGCTGGACCATCTTTGGTCCCTTGTTGGGCTCTTTTCCTGAGGCTGACAGGTGGCCTTCTCACTTTGCTTGCCCTCCACTTATTCATCCTGAGCCAGCCTGCTTGCCAGACTGACTTGTCCAAAGTTGGGACCACAACAAGAACAGACAACACATTGATGCAAAGTCTACAGAGTCTTTATTTCACTCCAAAACAGAGAAACCAGAGTCCCCTTCCCTCTCTCTTGTTCTTTCTCTCCTCTTCCCTCCCCTTTCCTTTGCATCTTTAATATGCTATCCCATTGCATCTTTAAAAAGCTACCTCTGCAGGGCCACCCATTTATGTGACCTGGAGCTGGGAGGGCACTGGCACTGGCCGGCATCCGATCCAAGCTCCTCTTGGCGGCCATGAGCCACGTGACCTCAGATGAGAAGCCTCCTGCCTCACTTTCCTCAATGGGAAACTTCTTTCCATGAAACAGAAAACAAATAGATCGAAAAGCCAGCAGGGAAGGGTCCGAGGGAAGCCAAAGGGGAAGTGCAGCCAGGAAAACACTGCCAGCTCCGCAAGATCCACAGCAAGATCCTGGGTTCAGAGTGTCAGCCAGGGTCCCTTTCCAATCTCACCGTGGAAGAGCGAGCAGCCCAGAGGCCAGCCAGGCACTGTGCTCCGTCACCACTGACTGTGGACCTCTCACCGGGGAGCAGGTGCTGCCACGCTCATCAGCGCAGACTCGCAGCCATGCTGCCCACGTTCAGACAC